ATACTATATAAATCGATTCTAGAAGAGTCGTTTACTAATAGTAGATCAATTTCCATATTTGGTAATATCCGAGACTGAAGTAAATCGTTGACGGGAATACAGTTCATATAGTATATATTTATATTTTTGTAATACATTTGTGTAGCGCTGTACACATGTGGATATAAAATGCCTTCGGCAGTAATGATGAGCCATAAAAACATGTCACATTTAAGTGAAGACCTTTCCATGACGAATTCATGTACGTACTTATTGTCAAGAAAGAAAAATAAAAGGCTCCGGAACTGTTATTTGTGAATCTTGTGAAAAACTAAACTTTGAGTGTATTTATATACCAGATCAGAAGCATGGGCCGACTACTTGTACCAATTGTCATACGCAAACAACACTTTTATGGCGTCGTAATTCTGAAGGTCAACCTTTATGTAATGCTTGTGGGTTGTTCCTTAAACTTAGTGCTATAGGAGCCTCAAGTCTTAAAAGTGTTGTAGGAACCGTACAACTCGGTCAAGGTGAGTTTGATGGCTTGTTAACAAAATCAACTTATGACTTTAAAAATCGAATGAAGAATTATGATGCATCAAATGTAATACCATCGCCTCTAGAATATCATAGTTGCGGAAATGATAGTAGCAATAGTACTTGTACCAATTGTCATACGCAAACAACACCTTTATGGCGTCGTAATCCTGAAGGTCAACTTTTATAATATTCGACAGCTTTCTTTAAATTTATAGGTTTTACCAACAAGTATAAGCACCACTGGATGTGATTTAGTAAAGCTGATATTTTAATAAAAAAAATAAATTTATATTTTATTATTTATTATACTGTATAATATCATTTGTGAAAAATTTTGCAGACTTGTATACATTTAGAGATTTCTAACTATCGACCAAAAATTCGATGCCAATTCCCTTCGAAATGTGGTTAAATTGCATGTATTTAACCAATGCTTATTGGGATTGAATTTGACAGAGGAATTTTCTTGCCTATAACTTCCAGCATCGTACCGCCTGGGCCGAGTTGTATTCTTCCTTTAGTTGGACTCTCATAACGCTGACGTTTTTAATAACATCCGTTTGAAGAGTTAAGGGTCTTGAGACACCATGAAGTTTAAGAAGCAACCCACAAGCATTACATAAAGGTTGACCTTCAGGATTACGACGCCATAAAGGTGTTGTTTGCGTATGGCATTGTGTACAAGTAGTCGGTATTTCGTTTATTGAATTAGTATTACCGTTGCTACTATCAGATACTAGAGGCGATGGTGATAATTTGACATTATTGATTAGAATAGATTGCAATGAAAGGTCATATGGTATTACATTTGATGCATCATAATTCTTCATTCGATTTTAAAGTCATAGGCTGATTTTGTCAACAAGCCATCAAACTCACCTTGACCGAGTTGTACGGTTCCTACAACACCTTTAGACGGATTCTTGCCAGCGGCAACTGCAGTCCCATTTCGATTACGTTCTTTAATAGTATCCATTTTACGATTTAAGGGTCTTGCGACCCCATGAAGTTTAAAAAATAACCCACAAGCATTACATAAAAGTTGACCTTCAGGATTACGACGCC